GATAGCGAAACACCCTCATAACATGAATAGAAGGGATGATACCTCCTGCCTACCAGACATCTGGAAGCTAGCCCTCACCAACAAACGAGTCCCAGCCACAAAAACCAACACCAGATCCAAAACAACACAGGACACCACTGCCAATCCCCCTATTCAGACCCAGGCCCAAGCCCATCCTATAAATAAAGGACAACTACCATCCAGAAAATAGACCATGGCTGCTTCACCAGCTGTTGCACCCCTGACCCCAAAACCAAACAAGCTGACACACGCCAAGAACACAGACCCAGACCCCAAACTTGAAGCCAGACTAAAACCCACAATGCTACATCATAGCCACCTGCTCCGGACATCACATCAGAAAACTCAGGAAATTACACAACAAGAACTCAAGAAGTTGCAACACAGCAAATGACCCAGGATATCACAGCACAAGACCAAGGATACCACAGCAATAAATCTCACAAGGTCATCACACAACCCATTACCCAAGCCGTTACTACACAGGAGGCTAATGGAAAAGAGATCAAAACACAAACGACCCAGGAGATTACAATGCAGGACCCATGATACCACAACAAAAGAACTCGCAAGGCCATCACACAACCCATTACCCAAGCCGTTAAAACAGGAGAGGCTAATGGAAAAAAGATCACTACAAAACAAACGACCCAGAAGATTACAGCACAAGATCCAGGATATCTCCACAACAAAACTCACAAGGCCATCACACAGCCCATTATACCAACATCAACTCCATCAACCAATCAAGAGGCAGCAGTGCAGCCAACCAGCCCAGCACACCAGCCCCCACCACCAGTATTTACAGAGAGACGGTAGCTCTGATCACACACTGCTTGCACTGGCATGAAGCCGAAAGCACCAGGCTGAGGATGGCGAGTGGGACCTCACCAAAATGTCGCCAAGATACTCTTAATCTTACACGGGAAAAGACCCGAACACACCTAGACCTATATATATATATATGTTTTCTTAAGTTTTTGCGGGTAATTACAAATGTATGGCATTCAGCTTTGTTCGGGTATTTTCCCACGTCATGATAGTTGTGCTTTTAAAGTTGTAGCAATATTTCGGCAGAATCTCATCTGGCAGATGAGATTCTGCCGAAATGTTTACAACTTTAAAAGCACAACTACCATGACGTGGGAAAATACCCGAACAAAGCTGAATGCCATACATACATACATACATACATACATACATACATACATTACTACAATTATAACATATCTTCTTTTGCCCTTTATTGTGTAATCTTTGGTCTATCCCTTCGTACCAGCAGTTCCAACTGTCGTAATACATCGATGATTCTTTATCTTTTAATGCCAAAGTTAATTTGTCCATTTCTGCACAACTTGATATTTTTTGAATAGTCATTTCCTCTGATGGAACATGAGGTTGTTTCCAACATTGTGCAAAAGCCAATCTATTGTATACTTCACTTTTTGGGGGAATTGTTTATTAAAGATCCCTAATAGAAAGAATTCTGGTTTGAATTTGATCTATTGTCATTTCTTCCAACCATTTTCTAATTTTCTGCCAAAATTTTTGAGCCTCTGTACAAGACCACCACATATAGAAGAATGTTCCGTCCTTTTTTTTGCACTTCCAGCAATTTGGACTCAGGTTGGGGTGCATCTTCACTAGTCTCGAGGGAGAAAGGTGCCATCTATAAAACATTGGTTTTGTTTGTGTGCACTCTCATTCCCAAACGATGATGAGGTTTTTTTCCCCTGTAGTGTCTCATTGAATCCCTCAAATTCTCAGGGATACTATATTTCGGCAGAACAGTTATAAAAACCCTGATGTAAGGCACAGTTCTTCTGAAAGACTGCAAAAACAGTCAGTGTGATTTCACAAAGAAAGGGACCCTGCAAAGAAAGATGGGACATCTTAAAATAGAGAATTTAAAAGCAAAAGTAATCCTAATAAGGAAAATGTGAATTCTGAAGAAGGCAATGTAGTTGTCCATTCAGATTTAATAAAGGCCTGAAAAGAAAAAGATACATATAAGAGCAATGTCTTCTTTTAGGAGAGAACCAGGGGTGGGATGCTACCTGTTGTAGAGCGGCGGAGGAACGAGGCTGAACCAGAGTGAAACGTAAAAGGCTTTATTGCAATGAATAAAGGGTTGCCGCGTCTGCCTTCTCGCTAGGCAGGCTAGCTGGTGGCAACGGAGCTGGCACTGCTCGACAGCCGCCTTTTATAGCCGGCTGTCAAACGGTGCCAGCCAATGGGAGCGGCTGGTGCTCCCGCTCAAACAGCGGACCTGGTTGGGGACTCCAACCAGTCCCAAAGACATAACACTACCAGTTCTGCCCGGCTCTGTAGAACCAGTAGCTCTGAAGAGCAGCAGACACAGAACTGGTTCTGTGTCTGCTGCTCTTTGGCTCACCCGCCCGCCCGGGCTGTTACCTGAACTTTATTTCCTGCTTTTTCAACCTCAGCTGCTTTGTGCGGCACAGGTGAGGTTGAAAAAGCAGTAAAAACGTGCTTTTTCAAATGCTGTGCACCTGCGTGCAGCGCTTATCAGCTGTCTGGGTGGCACAGCTTACGGTGTAGTACATGCGTGCGCAGTGCATGTCTGGCAAAACATAATTACCGAACTGGTAGTTACACCGGTTGAATCCCACCCCTGGAGTGAACATACATTCATCTAATAATTCTGAAGAGCAGAATGAAGAACAAGATTGATAGAAATATCACATTTATTCTGAGTAAATTTAAATCTCAGGAGCCAGAAGACTATCATCCTAGGATAACGAAGGAACTTACTGATGGGATTCAGCTGACACCTTATATGAGGTCTTCAAACTTGATAGTTTTAAGACTTGTGGACTTCAATTCCCAGAATTCCTCCTCCAGTCATGTTAGCTCAGGAATTCTGGGAGTTGAAGTCCACAAGTCTTAAACTTGCCAAGTTTGAAGATGTAATGTAATAATGTAATAATATAAATATGCTGTAAAGTGTCAAACAACAGGAAAAGAGTAAATGACTCGTCTTCAAAAAGAAAGGAAAGGTGGATCTAGGGAGCTGTCATTCAGTCAAGTTAACACTGGTATATGAAAATATTCTGGATCAGAACATAACATGTTTTATAAGCAATGCAGAGGTAAGCAAAAAATATGTCAAGAACAAGACTTGTCAAAAGAACTATTTAATTTTTTGCAGTGCATTTTTTGTAATACCGGTAGTTTATAAGAATGCTGTAAACGTAATATACTCCGATTTCAGAAAAGCAATTTAAAAAGTATTCCATGATTTTGTAATTAGCAAAGTAGTTAAACGTGAATTTAGTAGCATTACTGATAAGTGACACATAGGTAGTCTGAAAAGCATATTAATGGTTCCTCATCAAATTGTAGAGAAATAGTGATGGTGCCATGTGATTCAGTCCTGGTTCCTCTACTTTTCAGTATTTTTATTAATGTCTTGAGTTGACTGAAGAAAGGAAATGCTTATATACTTGCAGAGAACACAAAATGAATTGCATAGGCAGAAATAAAATTCAAAATAATCTGGAAAGATTAGAGAAGTGGGATTAAAATAACAGAAATTAAATATACCATGCATAAGATAGGAATCATTTGGCTTGGTAATTTTAATTGTGAAAAGGATTTTTGAATACTGGATTATTACAAACTGAGTAGCAGTTCCATTTGGCTGTCAAAAAGGCAAATTCAGTATACATAAGTATAGTACAAATCGTATGAAACTTGGTATCAGGTTATGCTGCATTGATCAGAATTTACCTCCAGTATTAAATCCAATTTTCAGTTTCATACTTACAGGACTCAAGATAAACCGGAACAAGTTCAGAGAATGTAGTAAGAATGATCAGAGTGTGCAGTAGAAACTAAAAGCTATGACTGGCAATTACATAAACTGGAAATATTTAACCTTAAGAAATTGAAGTGGTATATGATAGCATTCTTCAAATAATTGAAAGAAGCACTTTAAAGAAGGCTAAATTCTTTATTAGCTTAGTAGGTAGAGCACAAAACAACGTATTTATGATAAAAGAACTGCATATGCCAAATTAATGCTGGAAAAGTTTGCAATTGTAAATTGGATTGTGTAAATAATTACTCAAAAAGATGGAGGACTCCATGAGTGTTTAAAGAGAATCCAGACAGTCTCCTATCAGGGATCCTTTGAATTCCGATACTGGACTTTAAATGGTCTCTTCTGATTCCATGGTTCAATTCCATAATATGGTACCAACCTTGATTCTTCCTGGATAGGATACGATAGGATACCTTCCGAATGAACCCCACAGAAATATCCTAAATTGTCTTTTGCAACAAGTAGGCATCATTCAGGATTTGATTTGTGAACATTGATGAATAATTTGTAAAGAATGAGAAGCAGCAGGAAATGACCTTATATGCACAACACATCTTTCTCCCTGGATTTGTTTATTCATCTGGTGAAAGCTGTTTCAAACTCAGTGTTGTCATGTCTCATTGTGAAAAGGCATATCAAATTTCAAAGGCATTGCAGACTGGCTTCCAAATGAAATATGGTATGATGTAGTATTTCTTGGAGAATTATGGACGTAAGAGCAAAAGGGGGAAATTGTTTATAATGTACCAACATATTCCAAGCACTAATGACCTTCAAGCCCCACATATTCATCAGTGAATTCCTAATTAATCAAGTTTACATAGTTAATTAATTTTCATGTTTTTCTACTTTCTCTAAGATGGAGTGGGTATCTATGACTCTCCAGATACTGCTGAACTGTAACTCAAAGTGGCCTCACCTAGTAAGATGTAGTTCAGTTATGTTTATCTATCTATCATCCACCTACTTATCCATCCACCCATTAACATATTTATATAATAAAACCCCATAAAACAATTTCTCCTTCGTAAAAACACACTGCAACAAAAAGGAGTTTTGACTAAGTCTTATATAAAGTAATGGAATGGATTTGTAATAACTAGTTATAGTACTATTTTTGTCATCGAAACCATATCTGGATGAAGAGTGCCCAAATAATATTCCTAATAAATAAATAGTAATAGTTTCCAGAATAGTTGGCTGTAAATAAAATAAGATAGCATCTATGCTGATACAACAAATTGCAATTATTTAAACTCATCCAATCTTCAGAGTTTAATGGATTCAATATTTTATGTATACTACTACACAGTATATGAAAAGTTTCATAACAATTAAACACTATTGAGGGTGTTATGCACAAATGTGAAGTTTACTGGCTAATAAACAAATATCCAAGAATGTCTAGATCCTGATTTGTGTTTGCTTCTTTAACCTCAACCTGTTTTTCACTGGAGCACTGCTTTATGAAGATGCGGCATCATTTACCGGGTTACCAAGGAGGGAAATGGTGGTTGTCAGGTGTGAGTCATCACTGCCATAGTAAGCCTTAGTTATTTCCTACAAATTAATTGTAATACCCTAGTTTTGCCACTGGGGCAATAATGCAGAAAGGACATTTGAAGAAGGTCCTGTATGTGAGGAATATAGCCTGGAAAAATTGTTGATTATGCGGTACTCTACCAAGTGTTTGTGCTATCCAAATTCAAGTCTTGTATTACTTAATCAGCACCTTGATTATGCATGAGATAAAGGGCCTTCATCTTCTAAAAATTGGAACTTTGAGATGATTTCTATCCTAAAGACTAAAAAAAACACCCAATCCTATTTTAAATTGAGATTTAGAAAGAAAGCAGCAGCAGGTAAATTTGGATAGCCATATCATAGGTGCTTACACCTATCTTATCTAATCCAGTTATTGATAGTATATTTTATGGGAAAATGAACTAGCTCAGGTAAGTACATGAGATCAGTCAGAATGATCATAGCAGCGTAATTAAAAGTAAATACCAATGTAACTGAAATATTAATAAAAGGACTATTCTAGACTGTCTTTCTAAACTGAAAAGAAAATTTTAAGAGGCAAGAAGTCATTTAAATGGAATAACATGTTGTTATTTGTGGCATGTACTACTAATGGAACAAAAGGATAAAATGATACAAAGAACCAAGAAGTTACAGTTATATCTAGTTACTGTGCTTGCACAGGTGCCTATACTTTTATTCTACACATCCCTGAGCACAAAAAAACTGATTTAGCCTAAAATTTAACAAATTAGACTCACAGGCCATTATAATATTCTACAATAGGTCCCAAACCCCTAGGTCCCAAATTATGTAATAATTTTGTCCCTTACGCATCCCAATGCGTCCACCATGGTACACTCTTTGCAACAAGCAATTTTGCTGACTTTTCAATGATTTATCTTTAGCTCTAATGATCCCCAGCTATGGAGCATTTGTGGAACCCTCTTAAAAGAAGATATTGTAAGAGATGTGTCTCTGTCAGTATCTCAAGCGGTAGCCTTGTGTCTTAATGTCCCAAAACTTATTGTGGTCTAGAACAAAATCCTTGCTGAAATTTTAAAACTGACCTGCCCTAATTTTATTAATAAAATATTCTGGAAATACCGGGTACCTAGTGCTCTCTGAACTTGGTTGTTTTCTTGCAGATGTTTCCTTACTAAACTAGGTTACATAATCAGTATTAGTAGGGAGTGGAGTTTGCTCTCATTTTATATTCAAGGGGCTTCCCCTCACAGGGCAAGGAAACAACCAAGCTACCAGAGCACCTGGGACCTCGCAGTTCAATCCTGATCTACAAATATTCTCCTCTATCGGTATTCTGGAAATGCCTATTATTTTCTCCAATTTTATTTTATTTTTATATCCTATGCCACAATAATTTAAGGCAAAGAATGAATGTGTTCACCTGACATCCTCACCCTTTTAAAATCATATATTTCCTAAAGTCTATAAGTCTTAAAAGAGTGCCATGAGAATGCCTCTTGGAAGTCTGACTAACTGACATCACAAATGGGAGATCAAAAATAGTCTCCAGAGCAAAACAAAATAACCCAACCAAACAGATATGTTATAGCTTAATGCTACGTATGAACTAAGATAGAATCTGGTAGCGAATCAGCTTAAGTGGTCACAGCTCAAGTATTGTGCCAAGAGTGAATTTTAAAAGTTTTTGTTTTCTTGAACTGAATTTTCAATGGATGGAAACATCACAAAGAATAGAGATGTATGCAGCTTATACCACAAATATTATCCATTAAGTACTAGCATAATCACATTGTAAAGTAGCCTTGAAAACCAGTAGGCCCATGCTTGAGAGACATTTCACTTTTCCATCATTGATTCCTTGCAGTAAAAGGTAAGAAGCAGATTAAAAGAATATGAGCCTCTGGTGGCTCCCAAACATAGCTGCAGCTGAGTCTGCACTGTACCTAGGCAGCATTTCAAACTGCAACAGGTCTAGTTGCTATAGAGCAAGGGTGTCAAACTTGCCACATCACGTTTTGCGACATTTGCCCCCCTTCACAGAGCTGGGGTAGGCGTGGCCTCCGCGTGATGCATCCTGCCTGTGGGCTGCCAGTTTGACACCCTTGCTATAGAGTAACATTTTCCATCAACTAGCTAGCTATCTTGAGCTTTGAGTACAAGGAAAATGTGATATTCTTGAAACAGAAGCATTACCATGAATAAAGCTTTTCTTTATTCACACACAGACACACCTACACACACACACATAAACTGACTGCTGATCACCTAAACTTTCTCCACAGAACACATTTGATGAGTTAATACTAAACATTCACAATTCTCTTGGTATAACTGTAAATGGAATTATAGGGCTGCTGGATTCAAGGTCCAAAGCAGTCAGAAAGCATTCAACAGCAGCTTCATTTTTGCCCTGAGCATGAAGGACTTCTCCAAGGCTGTTCCAGGCTTTGTGGCTGGTACTCTGTATCTGGACTGCATCTTGAAGAACCTTCTGAGCCAAATTTCTTCGCCCAAGCTTGTTGAGAACCAGTCCCTGCCAAAGGAAAAGTAACTCAGTGTTAACCACAACCAAACTTCATCGTTTGATGGACAAAAACAGGAGAATAAGAAGATACTGAATCAGGCCAATATTCCATATTATCAAAGGCTCTGCCAGAAGAGCATTATTTATGTAGACTGCAAAAATCTTGACAACCACTAGATGGGCGTGAAGGGAAATAAGAAACTATAATTACTGTGGTTGCCCAGAGTTTTGCTGGCAAATTATAGTAGCTCATTTCTTGGATTTCACCCAGAATCTTTTTCAGACTAATTTGGCGATTCCAGCAACTAAACCTGGACACTATGAGCTGTACTACCAAGCTATATATAGCCCTTGTTCTCAAATACTGAGTCCAAGTGTATTCTGAATGATTTCCTTAAACATGAGCAGTGTATCCTTTAGCTTGTAGCCTGATATTGTTTGCTTGGTTAGTGAGCTTCAATTCCTCAAATTTTCATCCCAACTCTCCCTTGATACTTTTAAGAACCCTCAGTTCAGCAATGGAATGTCTAGAAATACTGAAAAATTCTCCAGTAATTTCACCATGTCCTGGTACTTGATGTTGATTTGGGCCATAAGAACACAGATGGTGCATTGGACAAAAAGTGTCTTATAGGAACATCCCCCAAGCTTATGGAACATTTTGCTTTTGGAACATTCACAGCAGTGAAAAGCATTGCATTGTTATACTCTGAGATGGAGATATATTCTACCTCTGAAGAATAAAACCAGTATTCCCCAACCCAGTTTCTTCCAGATGCATTTTAACAAACATCCACATAATGTATATGAGGAAACTGAGGCATAAACTTGTGAAAGTTGATACACAAGCCCATGGCCAGGTTTTTTTTCAACACCGACTGACAGAAAGATACCAAAATACCGAAGTTTCTTTTAGGCTGACAAAGGGAAAGACAACTTCTTTTTTGTTATCTTTATTTTTTAACTAAAGAAAACATTCTGAATCCTAAAGAGTTCCCTTTAGTAACCCAATATTTTGGACTACAGCTGCTGTTAGCCTAGGCTCCGTGGTGGTGAACCTATGACATGCGTGCCAGAGGTGGCATGCAGAACCCTCTCTGTGGGCATGCGCGCCGACATCCCAGCTCAGCTCCACCACGCATGCGCCCATGCCTCCCGCCGGCCGGCTGGTCTTTGGGTCTCTGCTGCGCATGTGCAGGGGGGATATGGCGCATGTGTGTGGGATGGGGTGCATGCGGGGCTGCGCACATGCACAATGGGGTGCTTTGCATTTGGGGTACGCGTGCGCGCGCTTTGGGCATTCAGTGCCAAAAAGGTTCACCATCACTGGCCCTAGGCCAAGCTGGCAGTAGTGATGGTTCTGCCCACTGCCAAAGATCCCAGATGCTGATTCCTGCCCAGTTGCTGTGGTTGGATAGCTTGCCTATCGAGATGTTTGAAGTAACTGCCCAGTGCCCTTCACCCAATAGATTTGGAAGAATAATCATGAGCAACAATTTTATTGCACTGTATTTATATAGGTCATCCTTGACTTGCAGTGGTTCATTTAGTGGCCATTCAAAGTTACAACGCACTGAAAAAAGTGACTTATGACCATTTTTCACACTTACAACCGTTGTAGCTGCCCCATGATCATGTGATCAAAATTCAGATGCTTAGCAACTGCTTCATACTTATGACCGTTGCTATGTCCCAGGGTCACATGACCCCCTTTTGCAAACTTTTGACAAGTAAAGTCAACGGGGAAGCCAGATTCACTTAACAAACCCCGTTACTAACTTATCAGCTGCAGTGATTTGCTTAACAACTTGTGGCAAGAAAGATCGTAAAATGAGGCAAAACTCACTTAACAAATGTGTGATGACCCAGGGTGGGGATACAAAATAAACACAGTTACAAAAACCTGTTGAAGCCACTTTTATTCCTTCACTTTGCTTCCAAGCTTCAAATATCCTTGACTGGAGACAAAAAACTGCCACACAAGCACTTACAAGAAGGAGGGAAAAGGCAACACAAACCGGGCAAGATAAGGGCTGGAGGACGTCCACAGATAACAGAACACACACTGGGAAGGACGCCAAACTCAGAGAGGAACCATAAACTAGAGATATTTCCACACTTTGTTTCCAGTGCTCGCCCGTACGCATGTCCGTCCTCTTATTCAGTTGTCACAGCTGCAGCCTATGAAGAGGATCAAGGCCCTCTCCTCCTGAGTAGACCACGTCTCTCCCTTATCCTCTCCTCCCTGTGTGCCCTAGGATGGAGAGAGGATGGGCCTGGGTCCTCCTCTGACTGCTCCACCAGCCTCTGCCCTTCCCCAGCCTCCTCCACAGTCTCCGGCCACACCTCCACTCCCTGTCAGCTGTTCCTCCTCTCCCTCAGAATCAGTCTCCACCAGGGGCATGACAAAATGTCTCACTTAGCAACATAAATTTTGGGTTCAATTGTGGTTGTAAGTTGAGGACTATCTGTATAGGAAATAACAAGCGTGTTGTATGCTACTACATACTACTGTTGGGCTCCAAGTTCGCTACGGAGCCCGTCAGCTCTGAACACGCCTCGCAGAAAGTCAGCTGGCCAAGGAGAATGTCACCTTATCTCTGCTGCTGCCAGATCTGTATTTCTGCTTGTGTGCTGGCCGATGGTGTTGCTTTGGAATGACTCAGCAGAGCTGTCGGCTGCTGGCTGGATCCTGAAGCAACTGCGGGGCTGCAGGATGGAGTCTGAAGTTACTGCGGGGCTGGAAATAGCTCTTTTCGTGTATTGATGTGGTGCATAATGTTAAAAGGGCACATATAGGTGGTAATTTATGCCTTAGGTTAAAACATAGTGAAGGTGGCACCGGGTGGGGATCAGTTAGTGAGGGTTGAAATAGGATAGGGATGTAGACATGTTATAGGGTTAATAGCATTTAGGGATAATGGGTTAGGTGTGGCCAGAACTAGAACTAAGTATAGGGCTGGATGTGGTGGGGTGTATCTCATGATAATGGTAATAAAAGGAAAGCGAGCAAATTCAACTCAACACTAACTTTTTAGCCTTTCTTGTCAGATAAGAGTATTTGTTGTTTGATGATCTAATGAATAAACCATCATTGCAACTACAAAGGAGCTGAAGTTTGTATTCATTTCAGGACAAATCTTCAGTCCTCAAGGACTGGCTGAGAACCACTTGTACACTACTTGTATGTTTGTCTGTCATCTTCAATTGGGCAAAACAATGCATCACTTAAAGAAGGTGTCAAAAGCCTGGACTTTATACTCCTCTGGAATTGAAATTGATAAAGTTGCAGCTACCAAGCTACCGTAGATAGTTGTGGTTACATGATAATCATTTCAATATTCCCTGCCAGTTATCTACAAGGAAACTCAATGGGGGAAACTCACAAGAAGTTGGAAGTTGCTCCTGCACCCATTGTTTTTTTGTCAGTCTCTGCTCATTCTGTTCTGCAGTTTAATGGGCAGGAAACATATGTGAAACAATTACTCAGTGAGTCAGGGATGGTCTTGTTAACAATAGCAATAGCACTTAGAGTTATATACCGCTTTATAGCCCTCTCTAGATGGTTTACAGAATCAGTATATTGCCCCAACAATCTGAGTCCTCATTTTACCCACCTCAGAAGGATGGAAGGCTGAGTCAACCTTGAGCCTGGTGAGAACTGCCAAATAGCAGGCAGGCAGCCAGCAGTCAGCAGAAGTAGCCTGCAGTACTGCAGTCCAACCACTGCGCCACCGAGGCTCATAAAATAAAATGAAGGACCAGATAAAAAACAAAAGATTTGGGTCTTCCCCAAGGTCCCTAGGAAAACAAAAAATGGATTAAAACTGATCGTCTACAGGTAATATTCGATTTACAACAGTTTGTTTTGTGGCCGTTTAAAGTTACAACGACATTTTAAAAAGTAACTTATGATCATTTTTGCAATTACGGCCACTACAGCATCCCTAAGCTCACGTGATCAGATGTTTGACAACTGACTCATGACAGTTGCGGTGTCCCTAGATCATGTGATCATCTTTTGCGACCTTCTGACAAGCAAAATCAATGGGGAAGCCAGATTCACTTAACAGCTGGGTAACTAACTTAACAACTGCGGTATTCACTTAACGGTAGAAAGAAAAGTCACAAAATGTGGCAAAACTCACTTCACTCTCTCACTTAGCAACAGAAATGTTGGGCTCAATTGTTTTATTTATTTATTTATTTGATTTGTCAATCGCTTACAAGAGAATAGCTATGAGGATAAACATAGTTATGAATACAAGAAATGAGTATATATAAGACAAATCAAAGAAACAATAGGACAGGGACGGTAGGCACTTTGGTGTGCATTGTGGTCGTAAGTTGTAAGTTGAGGACTACCTGCACTTTTTTATGGAGGGATGAAGGCCAATAAAGAATTCTATTGTTCTACCCCCATCCAAACACTTTTTTTAAATTCCATATTTTACTTTTGTTAAAGAAAAATGAGGAAGAAGGGCTCAATAGTCGATTTCAAAACACAGAAAGTTCGGGAGGCATGTCTTTATGAATGTTGGTCCCAAGCCAGTCACATTCCCCTGAAGTGGGAGTGAGCATGCCCAAGCCCATAGATCCAGCTGCTCTGAGATTTGGAAATGGGGTGGGAGACGGGTGCCAGCCGCTGTGCTACGGATAAGGAGCCAGGCAGCATTACATTGGTACTTCCTTCATCTCACCCAATGCTTCTTCAGGGGGAGGGCTGACATGGGAGGGGACATTTATACCAAAAAGCAACAGCCTCAGATCTGTCTGGATTAGATGAAGAATCACAGTCTCAGGACAACTCCCCACTTCAAAAAAAAAAAAAAAAGCTATGTATTTTTGACTCTGGAAAGCTAGTATGACACTCAGCACTGAACGCTCTGTTTCCCTGAAGAAACCTCCCCTTGAGAACTGCGAAGCTCTGGCAGAATTTTATATCTCCCTACGGAGTCTGGCAAGTGGTAAACAATGCCTCCATGTTATTGCCGTGTATAGTCCAGCTG